AAAGTAAAAATATCTTAAACAGAAAATTAAATATGGCGCCGACCAACCGTTCAGTTTTCCTTATCACTGCATGTTACAAAAGAATTCTTTTGCAAAGAAAAAGAAGATATTTAAGGTGGAATTTATTACTTCTTTATCTTAAGAAAAGGGCGTTACTCATACGCACATGTTATTTGATGTTACTCCTTCTAACACGAAGCGTGAATGAATTGGTGATGGTTAGGCAGATCTTTTTGCACGTGCTGACACACCGTTTGAATTTCGTTCTCATTTGTTCAACAGTGAATGGAAAGACTGAAGGTGGACTATATTTCGAATACCGTTCTTGAAGTTGTTTCAAGATTTTACTGTACACATCCGCGTTTTTTTGCTTTTTAACGTTCGTGAAAATCAATTTCCTCGAGAAATTTTCATCATTGACTATTATGTCGATCATGTCGTCTAAATGCGATTCTTTCCAAAGGGCCTTTCAACCAACTCCTTTAACTTTCTTTTTCCCTCGTTTCTTTCCTGGATTCTTTTCCAAAGGATCTGTCAGTTCAAGGTTATCGCTACTGCTGCTGTTTTCAGAAAATTCTTCGATTGACTCATTGCGAAGTTTCTTGCGTTGCTCTTCTTCATGTTCAGAAAGAACTTCCTTTGCACAAGTTAAACAATATCCAACACTTTTCTGAGGAATCCATCCGGGTTGTTGATTCTTCTATCACGGCCAAACTACACTCAGCTCGATTGCAAACAAACGAAGAACACGTTATACAAGTATATTTCGTTGATATTTTACAATGAACACAAGGTTCCTCCATTTTGTCTGTTCTGTACAAAAATCGCGGCGCGAATTATTTCGCGCAATGAATATCCAACATCCTCATTGGTTCAATATATTTTAACATAATTTACCTAATTATTTAATATTAGCTTCGTCTAAATTATATTCGTCGATTATTCGTCGTTTAATTTGAAGACGAATTTTCGTCGCATTATCCGTCCAAGCTGGACGAATAATGCGAGTTAGACGAATTCAATCAAGTAAACGACGCATTTCTGTCGAATAAAATAGAAGCAATTAAATTCGTCTGAATTATATTCGACAGAAACGCGTCGTTTAACGCCTGCCTAAGGCACTAAATGATAGTAATTAATATGTACAATGTACATTGACTTTTGAATATGCAGTGGAAATGGCGCGAGTGAACAAAAGCTCGCAATTGAACGTATGCAACTTTGTAAAACATTTGCAAATTTGTATATGCATATTATCTTGTACATGTTATGGCAGAAATTTGCTCTCTTTGCCCGCTCACGTAGTGGGGAATATGCCCTCGGCTCGTGCACTAAATTATTCAACATGCTGAATATATGGTGCAAATAGCACGCGTTAACAAAATCTCGCAAAACGTCGCCGCGCACTGGAAGAACTTGCTTACGTTAAAGTTCACGAGTGACTTTTAGCTTAACAGAAATAGCTCTCATGTGCGTCGGGATTAAGGTCTCTATTGAGTGTAATAAAAACGGGGATTAGTTTTTATTGATATAAAGTATTGTTGATGCAATATTTTATTAACTGCTACACGCTTCTGAAAAGAAGTTGAGAATTAATGTTTTGCATTACATCCGGCGACAGTATGGATGTAGCCCCGCCGCACGGCACTATTTGGTGCACTCTCATTTCTTTTTTGACAGGCTGCTTATGCCAGAAGCGAATGGGAAAACCAACAATCTTTTCTTGTTATGGGTGAGAATTAATTTATGCAGATTTGTTCCCATGATAGATTTTTTTAGATTAGACTTCCAGACTCTCAAGACTTGCAGAATTTGCAATAGGTTTGTCTGAGAAGGCATGGTACAGTGTATACAAACCTGTCCACCACCACACGTCTAGCATATATTATGTAGTTCATATAAATTACCTCTACCACAGGAAAATGGTAATCTCCACCACTTTACCTCGTAAACTTGTCCACCACCACACGTCTAGCATATATTATGTAGTTCCTATGAATTATTTCTACCACAGGAAAATGGGAATGCCACAGCTGTGCCGTGGTTCTAAATGGAGTGGTGGGTAAATCCAGTTGAAAAAGCTGGAAGAGCGAATGTCCTCTTTTTTATACTATGAACAATGCCTGTTCGTGTACCAGTAGGTATAAAAATTTTGATTTTAGATATTCACAAGGAACAGGAAATAGATCAGAGAAACGTGGCATTATTATTTCGGCTCGGTACGTATACCTATATGAACAAGATTTGCTATTGGTTGATGATAACAATAAAACACAATGAACTATAGAAATTGATTTCTAAAAGAACGAATCATAAACACTGTTCACAATTGTTACAAAAACCAATCACAAAACTCGTTCATATGAAGGTAGATGCTTACTGCGAATGATTATTTGTCCATCTGCGCCATTTTTTTGGTCAGTGATGTTGATGCTGAAGCTTTAAGTGTTCTTATTTTATTTGCTAGGATAACTTGTTGCTGGATGATGACAAAATTGGTGTCATTAATTTGAAATGAAATGATGTTTGCTGCTTATGCAAGGTTTGTTATGCAATAATATGCCATAAATGATACTATACAGGGTGAGTAAAAAAACTGACACCTTGAAATTCAAACTAGCCGCAAACTTATGGCTGGAATTTGACAATTCTCATTGTGTACAATCAACAAGACGTGGTTAATTAATGCAAAAGTGTTTAAACCAATTGAACTAATTCCACGTTCTTTTTTATTACAGAACTTAGAATGCATTTTAACTCCCAAAGGGAACAAACTTTATATTCTATTTAATTAATGGGTTCACTTATTTGATATGCTTCGTATACCCATAAGATATTTTAGGCAACCTCTGTCTCATTACAGCCTATTACAGACACATTGCAGCTAATTTGAATTTCAAGAGTGTCAGTTTTTACTCACCCTGTAGTAAATAAGTTAGTATGGCCAGGTCATTATTTAAGAATTAGTCGCCGAAGGCGAGGTGATTACGAGCCTATATTCACTGAGCCGAATAATAATCAACATAATCTCATAAGAATCAATGGTCAGCTCGAAATTTATACTAAAACTTAAGTAATAATGTTATCTAAATGACATAGGTGTAGGACGTTTGTAGGTGTAAAAGCCTAAAAGGCTCACGAGACATCACATGTTTGGTGCTGAGAGAAAAAAATATTCCAATTTTAAGCCTCTGAGATCTTTTGGAAAGTCTATTTTTGAGTAAGAGAAAACCTTTAATGTGCGAGACAATTCGGTACGTGTTGCATATTTGGTGAATTCACTTAAATTTATAATGGTATATTTTACTGACCAAGAACAAAGTGATTAGAACAACTTTGCCACACACTTCACATACCTTGGGTAACACCCCCTACGCTTTAAGTTAGTACGAGAAGCGAAAACGCGCACACATGCAGGGCCGTACAGAAATTTATTGGGGTTTAGCAAAATCTTCCTTATAATTAGGAGGTCGAATCCATTCATAATTCTATTCCTGTCGAGTTTTGATCGTAGACAACCCATCTTGGTGCCTCTACGAGCACTTACAATCAGATGCAAAAATTAATGAGACAACCACATAAATGACCCCCTCCCCAAAAATCAATGTTGCGAAGATGTACGGTAGGGAAAAATTGGCTTTTTTTTAGCATTGATGGAAAACTTGATGGAAAATCTGAAAAGTCTCATAATTTTTGCACGTGATTGTAGATGATATAAAACACTGACATTACTCACATCACTGGGTTTTAAAAGTATCGCACTCTTTTCCAAAACTGAACAAAATATCTAAGTATAAACGAACAATCCAGATTAAAAAGAACTGTCAGAAAACGAGTCCGACATTGAATATATATGAATGAATATGCCTGAGTTCGAGTTTTAAAACCAGCAGCCTCTGTTTTGTTATGAGTATAAAATGAAAACCGATTCGCAGATCCGACTAGGAGGTAGATTTCAAAATACCGACTAATTTTGTTTAAATAACCATTACTGAACAACCAGCCACTATCAACCTGATAAAAATTTACCAATCTTATTTCAAAATATGGGGTTGTCACAGGGCCAAAACTACACCCCCCATAGGTACGTCCCTCATAATCGCTCAATAATATTATCGGGGCTAAAGAGCATTAATTATCATTAAAATACAGCCTTGTTATTCATTCTTAAAAATTACGACAAAATGGTGAACGTATGATAATGTTAGATCTGTACGTAACTCTTGGTCTCAGAATACAAGAGTCACAGGGTAGATGCAGATACAAGTGAAATAGAATAACTCAACAACGAACGTACAACTAATAAATTTTAATTGATTAGAGACAAGGGCCTTTGTACAAGTCACGCAGCGTGTCGAAGTGGAGAGATATTTGGACTGGTATAGCACGATGTGTAACTCGTAGGTTAGGCGTAGATAGTAGTATATTGTAGATGCGTAGAGTTGTAGCTAAAATTTAGATTGATGAATAGACGCAGACGTAGATATAGATGTGGCATGCAGGTGTAGCTTCGAACTAAAGTATGACAGTAAAAAACTATACCGTGAGCTAAATTGCTTAAACCATGCAGCAAAAAACGATGTCAATGACAATGTCATTAACCAACTAACTAGAAACAATAAAGAATATAACGAATAACTATTAAATTATTACGTACTTTGGTTTACACTTGTACTCCAATTGTCGTAGATAAATTTTAGTTGAATAATTTGCGCGTAATTAAACATCTTTACAAATGTAAACATCTTTAGAAATGGAAAAGGTGGGAGATCGAACTTCCGAACAGTGTTGAAGTTCCTAGAAGCCTCGTAGGAAATCGCAAAGAGATTCAAGAAATTCATCTACATACATTCGGGGATGCTAGCATAAAGGGAGTGGCAGCCGCGGTGTATGCTGTGGTAAGGCAGGCGTCTGGAGATACGCAGGGATTGGTCGCAGCAAAATCGCGTTTGGTTAAGAAAGGTTTGTCCATACCAAGAACGGAGTTAGTGTCGGCTCACATGGCGACAAACCTAGTTGACAATGTGAAAACAGCGTTGGAAGGTTTGCCAGTAACTGACGTGACGGGATGGCTTGATAGCACGGTGGCTCTGTACTGGATCGAAGGCAGAGGACAGTATAAGCAGTTCGTACAAAATCGGGTGAGGAAAATTTGCGAGAAGAGATACATCAAGTGGAGGCACGTACCAACGGATCAAAATCCAGCCGATGTCGGTAGTCGGGCAGGTTTGGGTTCTAACGATAAGCAGTTGTGGCAACACGGACCCGGTTGGCTTGGTGCGAAAGAGAACTGGCCTCAAACTCCAGTGATTGCTGAAACCGATGAATCGAAAGTCGAAACCAAGTTGACTCGTGAAGTATTCGCATTAGTCCTACCAGTGAAAGACACGTTTGACGAGCTCCTCGAAAAATTCGAACTTTGGAAAATGCTGCGAATTGGAGCGTGGGTAGCAAGGTTCGTGTCTAATGCAAGGATTCATGGGGGGGGGAAGTCATTGGGACCTATTACGACGGAGGAAATCCAAAAGCAACTACTATTCTGGGTGAAAAGAGTCCAAGGGCGGAATGAAACAACTGACACCTTCCACGACGACCGGTCACGATTAAACCTTCACACAACCAAGGACGGTGTGTACGAATGTCGAGGCCGTCTTCAAGGACTTTACCCGACCTATTTACCCGATCAAGAAATGTTCACCGAGAAGCTTGTGATGAACGCCCACATCCGAACCTTACATGGGGGAGTGGGACTTACCATGACTAAGCTACGGGAGGTTTATTGGATACCACGTTTACGACGGTTGGTGAGGAAGATGATCAAAAGGTGTAATGGCAGTAGGCGGTTTCGGGCAGCCGCAGTTGCCGATCCTCCACCCAGAAATCTTCCGACAGATCGAACGGTTGGATCCTCTGCGTTTCAAGTGATTGGAGTGGACTATGCGGAGCCAATTCCCTATCGGACAGCGAAAAATCGAGAACGAAAATCGTACCTCCTTTTGTATACTTGTAGTCTGTCGAGAGCGGTCCATTTGGAGTTATTACCAGACCTGACCACGACAGAATTCATTCATAGCTTGAAGAAGTTTATCACCCGTAGGGGTCGTCCTAGAAAAATCTACTCGGACAACGGGAGGACATTTGTGTCTGCAGCGACCTGGCTGAGAAAGGTGATGAAAGAAGAGAGGTTTCACAACTGGTTGGCAGAACAAAGAATCGAATGGCAGTTTAATCTAACTCGCGCACCGTGGTGGGGCGGTCAATTTGAGCGGATGATAGGATTAGTCAAACAAGCATTATACAAGACCATCGGGAAAGCTTGTTTACAGTATAAAGAACTTCAAAAAGTATTGCTAGACATTGAGCTGGTTTTAAACAACCGACCGTTAGGTTACGTAGAAGATGACGAACAGATGCCAATTCTTACTCCTAACAACCTGATGTTTGGGCAGCCAGGCACAATCCCTGTGGAAGATGTCGATTGTATTGATGAAGCAAGCCTTAGAAAGAGAGCAAGATATGTTGAGAAATGCAAAAGCGCTTTGTGGTCGAGATGGTCATCGGAGTATCTCCGGGGTTTACGAGAACGACACAATTTAAAACATCCGAAGAAAGAGCATAAACTGAAACAGGGTGACGTGGTAATTATCAAGGGAGAAGAAAGAAATCGGAACAAATGGAAACTCGGTGTTGTAGATCAGATGATTAAGGGAAGAGACGGTGTGATCAGAGCGGTCAAATTGAGAGCAGGAAAGTCATACTTGGAGCGTCCAATTCAGTTCTTGTATCCAATGGAATTATCGTGCGACATAGAATCACCAAAGACCAGCTTGAACGCGAAGGCGAAGGAGTTTAAACCCAAGAGAAAGGCGGCGATAACCGCTCAGGAGAACCTTCGGAAGATAATAGAAGTAGAGGAACAAAGTGACTAAACTTATAAACATAGTTGTTGAGGTTAGACGTTTAAAATCGTAATCATTAGTTTACGAACAGAACTAAGATACTGCATGTTGAACATTATTTGGTTCTTATCAGAACAAAATAGGGGGAGAGTGTCGGAAGTAGCTAGGGTGACCTGTAGGCTGAACCGGAAGTGAAATGAGCGAGGGTCTTCTGAGAATGAGAGCGAATAGTTAGAACGGCGTGGGTCAAATTTGTGTGAACAGTTTTGTGAGAGTTATCGAGAATATAGGACCTTTATACTGGAACTTTACCCGTGTTTGTGAATTATTGTGACCGTGGGGGGGCCTCAACAACGTTCCCCACACTTGACCACAAAAAAAAAAGGAATTGCTTTTTTGGTAAAGTAAATGAGTTAAGAAATAAAGAAACTCAGTTCTGTCGAGATTCCCTCTTCTCGCCTTGATCGCAGATCAGTTAATTATATGACAATCGACAGTTTGCCCTTCCTGGGGTGGGGGAGGGGTGGTTTGGAGCTGATTGACATGCGTGAAACTCATGTGATAGTATACGTGTTGATAACTATGTAAAAGTAAGTATATTTGAACACTCTTTCTCCTAGTTCTTTTTTATTCTCCGCAAGAAAGACAATCAAGTTAGTTTTTTGCACGTGTACCATCATATAAGCGTCTGTTTGTTGTGGTGGATCGTAGTCAAGTGGAATCCTGGCTGGTTGAATTTTAATTTATTATTTCTGGAATGAATATTTATTTCATAGTCTAATTTTTTAATCGACCCTCTAAAATTTCAATAAAAAACCGAGGCAGAAAATAATCGAGTTGAAGTTCACAGCCGCTCCGTGTAGTGATTAAAATACAGATGATTACTTTTGGGTTTTGTTATCAAGATTTTGATTTACTTTTTGACACGATGATTCTTGGTGGGGGTAGGAATTGCTCCACATATATTCATGATAACACAGGGGGTTGTTTGTTAGTTTTTCGGTTTTTAGGCAAAATACAATTTGCACCTTGCATGTGATGCCCTGTGACTTGAAATTATTGAACCACTTTATTTACTGAAAATATTTCGAGTCGTCATCTTCTTGGTCCAATATTCCTGCTTGTAGTTATTTCAGTCAATTATCTCTGAGCGAACTTAATAATTTTACACCCACTTTAACCCGGGGCCCGGGACGAACTTGGGATGAATATTGAGAATATGAGCTATATAGGTTATTATGCGAACTGTCCCCACTGCGCTTTTAATTCTCAACAAAACGTAACATATGCTCGAAATTTTAAAAATTTTAATGCTACTGATTTCCTTAATGATCTCTCCCAGATACCCTGGGAAAATGTGGCACAGCATGACGATCCAAACACTTGCTATCGAATATGGAGGTCCTATTACTTGCAAGTACTCGATCTGCATGCACCGTTAAGACGCATGAGGGTTCGGGGCAATTCCCTCCCTTGGATTACTCCAAATATTAAAAAGCTAATGCGAATGAGAGATTTTCATAAAAAGAGGGCTGTAAAATTTAAATCTCAAATCCACTGGGCTAAGTTCAAAGAAACTCGCAATAAAGTTCACTCAGAAATGTATAAGGCAAAAAAAAACTTTTTCTGCAAAAAAATTGAAGATTGTGCTCTGGCAAAAGACCCTAAACAAAGCTGGAAGCTAATTAACGAACTTCTGGGGAAAAATAATAGAGCGAACAATATTTCCCAGTTAAAAATAGACGCAAATATTATTTCTGACGATATAAAAATGGCAGAGTCCTTTAACGAACACTTCGTGAGTATTGGGGCTAAATTAGCCGCCGAAATTGAGAATAATTCCTTGGACCCAAGTTGGTCAGAAAATGTCAATTCCCAATCAGATATACAATTCAGATTTTCAGAAATTAATGTGCATGATGTATTCCTTCAGTTATATAGACTTAAAACATCAAAATCGACAGGCATTGATACTATTCCAGCAAGGGCACTCAAAATTTCAGCTGAAGTAATTAGCCCATCATTAACGTGGATATTTAACCTCTCGATTAGAACTGGAATCTATGTAGACGAATGGAAAAAAGCTTGGGTTCTACCGATTTTTAAATCTGAAGACAGACAAAAGTGCGAAAATTATCGCCCAATTTCAATTTTACTCTCTAACGTCGTTTTGAGATGTCTCGTGTATTTAACGATTATACCATGAACCCGAGTCGTATATATAATTGTTAAATTTAAAAAGCGAGAATTTTATAGCGATATCAATGTGTAAAATTCTGAATTATGAAATTCTGTATTACTGGCTATTTTTACTACTCGTTGTATATGAGATGATATACAATGTAGTTCAGTGACCAATCAGATTCCGTAACAGCTCATCCAGTTGATCTGAGTATAAAAATGAACCAGTGAGAAGCCAGATACCGGTCCTTGAGAAAGAAAGCGTAGACAGCTTTGTTGTTCAGTCAATTGTAAATTAGAATCTTAATTTCGCGCCATTCAACCTGTCAGTCTTAGTAGGAAAAACGGGGACAAATGATTCCAAGCGCGTAATAGCTCGAGACACCTCGATCATGACCTAATGATCTCAGATCAGCTGGTATACGACGAGTATAGCTATATTATAGTCCACAATGTCTGTGGAAAGTTATCCACTCTAGATTCGCTCATGAGATTTTGCATGTTGGTAGCGTTGGGTCACCTGGTCGTTCGTTTTTTTTTCCACATTCATGGAAAAATCTCACAGAGACACCTTAACGTATACGTCAATGCAATTTCTTTCTTTTTAGCTTATTTTGGAGCATCTTTAAATTGTTTTGTTCACATCGTCATGTATTTCTACTATATGGTGTCAGCACTTGGACCTAAATACAGGAAATATTTATGGTGGAAGAAATACTTAACTTCGTTACAAATGGTATAAGCAATTATATTCCTTAAAATTATTCCATATTAATGACGTTTCAAAGTGGGATTACCAAAATTTTAGGATGGGCGCTGGTCGTAAAAAGTCACAAGTTCCCTAAAATTTTTGAAAATTATACACACACTATTGGCGATTGCTTATTTTTTACTCATGCTCTAGGAGAGCATGAGTCTAAGTTTCGTCGTGTGTAGGTCGCGTTTTGGACAACGATGACTGCTGCAACCGCAAAATACCATATACTATCCTCCCAGGCCCAGGGTAACTACAAAGCCTTAACTTACGCTATAGGTTCCCACAACACGCCATGTCCCTCAAGTAATGCTATTAAATCCCTACAACATAATCCCTAGAGCACGAGTGTACGCCTAAGGCGGCGTCTTATAATAAATTGTCATAATAATAATGGCAAAAATTGGCATAATAATAATAATGGCAAAAAATTTTAAAAAACTTTTATAATTGAATAGAATAGTCATTAGTCAATGCTGTCTTAAATGTAAACGAAACGTTTATTAATACCTGTTTTGATTATTTACCAATTTTTTAGATTCAATTTACCATGCTTTTAGTGTATATCTTACACGCGATAACAATAAAAGATTGTACATTTCCACGTTGGGTGCTTGGATTGTTTTTCTGCTATGGTATCTCTCTTCTGATACTGTTTGCTAACTTCTTCGCTAAGTCATATATAAATCGAGTGACTGCAGAAAAAGGACAGAAGTCAAATTAAAGATCGTGAAACAGCATTTCGAAATTCAGAACGTAATTTTGAATATTTCGTTATGATTCAAAGATGTGGTGTATCAATCATGCAATCAACGCCTGTACGAAAATGATGGCGAATGTACATTTCATCAGAACGCGTTAAAAAAATGTCTGCATGAACGGCTAAAAAAATGTCTGCATGAGAACGCCTGCGATTTCACAAAACATTGAGAGTTTTAGGCCGTGCGAGGGAAACAGTTACGCATATGTTTATCAACAAAAATCACACATAAAATCACAACCTCGTAATTTCCAGGGCTAATTTTGGTGATACATTCGCACCAAAAATTGCAAGGCCAAACAAGCCTAACGATTCAGAAAGCAATACCCTCTTACATATCAGGGACGTAGCCAGACCTTAAAGACGGGGGGGGGGGACCGTGAGGCTAGAGTTTAAACTTGTCTTTCATGACAATAACAGTCAACACTGAATATTAGCCTGGACTGAATAAAACAAGCATACTTGAAAGACTGAGTAGATTTAATTCTTCTTAATTAAATTAATTCATTTCGAAGTAAGTATATAATATTAGCAATAAATTTTTCAAAGAGAGGGAGCTGCGGCTCCCACGACTCTCTCCCTGGCTACGTTCCTGTTACATATAACTTCTGATTGCATGCATTTTGGTAAAATGTACATTCCGCCATGTTTTAATTGTAATGTTGTCACTGCCGTCTGTTCCGACGTGTCAAGATGGCGTTGCGTTTCTGGAATGGTATCATGATATATGTAATAGTGAATATCTGATATCTAAAATTAACATATTGGACCTCTATCTTTGTAAGCTGCATAGCTATATGTCGAATATTTTGATGTCGAAATTAATGTTTGTAGGCTAATAAATTAAATTCATAAGTGCGGGATTCATAATTTTAAGTCAAACTGTTGTAAAAACACTTTTAACGAAATGAAATTACCGACTTGAGGTAATAGTTATTCTCTTAAGAGAACCTCCAAATTAGGTGCCCAAACATCGGGTAATTTTAGAGCTAGTAATCACTATCATATTCGGTGGATAGCGCTAGCAGCTTTAGTATACCACTGTACACTTTATTGTACACTGCAACGTTTGGTGCTACCTTTGTGCACTAGCAAAAAGTTTAGCTTGTATGAAATTAACATTTGCATAAACATAGAAAGCATCCAACAGAGAAAATTCACTCTTTCATAAATATTATGTAAGAGTTTCCATAACTGTTAATAAGGTGCCCCAACTCGCAGTGCCTTAGACTGCTCTGCCAACCAGAAGAGTAGCTACCTCAACAACAACACGTACTGTTAGAAAAAATTGAAATTATCCCTTGATGATAAAATCTAAAAAAAATGTTTTCGCATGAGGTACATGCAGCCCGAGAGTGGCAGCGGTGGGATTCGAACCCACGCCATCTAAATGACTGGTGCCTAAAACCGGCACCTATTTAGACCACTCGGCCACGCTACCTAAGCCTGCAGCTGTTGCAATTTGGGACACCCTGTTTCTACATAACTGAGCAAAGTTTATTGCATTACTCTTCAAGTATAAAATAGACGTGACGAACCTAAACACACACACAACTGTAGACCAGACACCGTAGACCATTTCAAGTCTGGCGCTTTCCACCGCTAGGCCAACATGACTGTTCAAAGTATTTCGGAACTAATATCGCTTTGTTCGACGTTATCGACGGGGAAACGACAGAAGTAATTTCAAAAAGTATTTTTTAAAACAATATTATAGGAGTACTAATTTAGCATTAGTGAAAACTTGTCAGGTGTGGAATTCGAACCCACGCCCACCATTGTGGACCAGAATTCCTCATCACGTTCTTGAGTCTGGCGCCTTAGACCGCTCGGCCAACCTGACGAGTAGCTACCACAACAACAACACCTAGTGGCATAAAAAATGAAAATTATGCCTATATTATGATGTTAAAATCTTAAAAAAAAATGTTTCCGCATGACGTACATGCACCCTGACCGTGGCAGCGGTGGGATTCGAACCCACGCCATCGAAATGACTGGTGCCTAAAACCAGCGCCTTAGACCACTCGGCCACGCTACCGACAACGCGATGCTGCCCAACTTTCCATATTGCAAAGGGTACTTTCTCATAACGAGTACTATTGTCTGTGCAAATGCATTACAATTATGTGGTTTAGTATCTCTCTTATTTGTAGAAAAGTATGCCAATCCGGATTGGAACTTTATATCCACTGTAAAATATTGTGTCTAGTGTATTCTCATCTTCACTTACTTTTTTGAATGTTTCACTTTCTTTTTCACGATAGGAGCTGTGAGGAAATTTTGACGAGCCAAAAAAACTTTTTCTTACACGTCCAAGTTTGTCAGGTGTGGGATTCGAACCTACACACACAACTGTGGACCAGATTTCGCAGACCATTTTAAGTCTGGCGCTTTCGACCGCTATGCCTACCTGACTGTTTAAAGCATTTCGGAACTAATATCGCTTTGTTCCACGTTATCGGCGAAGAAACGACAGAAGTAATTTCAAAAAGTATTTTTTAAAAACAACATTATAGGAGTACTAATTTAATATTTGTGAAAAATTGTCAGGTGTGGGATTCGAACCCACGCCCACCATTGTGGACCAGAATTCCTCACCACGTTCTTGAGTCTGGCGCCTTAGACCGCTCGGCCAACCTGACGAGTAGCTACCACTACAACAACACCTAGTAGTATAAAAAATGAAAATTATGCCTATATTATGATGTTAAAATCTTAAAAGAAATGTTTCCGCATGAGGTACATGCACCCTGACAGTGGCAGCGGTGGGATTTGAACCCACGCCATCGAAATGACTGGTGCCTAAAACCAGCGCCTTAGACCACTCAGCCACGCTACCTAAGGCAGCAGCTATCATAAATTGGGAAACTCTGTTTCTACATAACTGAGCAAAGTTTATTGCATTACTTTTCAAGTATAAAATAGACGTGACAGTAATGCTAAAATTGCATGGAATTTGGCAGCGGTGGGATTCGAACCCACGCCATCGAAATGACTGGTGCCTTAAACCAGCGCCTTAGACCACTCGGCCACGCTACCGACAACGCGGTGCTGCCCAACTTTCCATATTGAAAAGGCTATTTACCCATGACGAGTACTATTGTTTGCGCAAATGCATTACAATTATGTGGTTTAGTATCTCTCTTATTTGTAGAAAAGTATGCCAATCCGGATTGGAACTTTATATCCACTGTAAAATATTGTGTCTAGTGTATTCTCATCTTCACTTACTTTTTTGAAAGTTTCACTTTCTTTTTCACGATAGGAGGTGTGAAGAAATTTTGACCAGCCAAAAAAACTTTTTCTTACATGTCCAAGTTTGTCAGGTGTGGGATTCGAACCTACACACACAACTGTAGATCAGATTTCGTAGACCATTTTAAGTCAGGCGCTTTCGACCGCTATGCCTACCTGACTGTTCAAAGTATTTCGGAACTAATATCGCTTTGTTCCACGTTATCGGCGGGGAAACGACAGAAGTAATTTCAAAAAGTATTTTTTAAAAACAATATTATAGGAGAACTAATTTAATATTTATGAAAAATTGTCAGGTGTGGGATTCGAACCCACGCCCACCATTGTGGACCAGAATTCCTCACCACATTCTTGAGTCTGGCGCCTTAGACCGCTCGGCCAACCTGACGAGTAGCTACTACAACAACAACACCTAGTAGAATAAAAAATGAAAATTATACCTATATTATGATGTTAAAATCTTTAAAAAAATGTTTCCGCATGAGGTACATGCACCCTGACAGTGGCAGCGGTGGGATTCGAACCCACGCCATCGAAATGACTGGTGCCTAAAACCAGCGCCTTAGACCACTCGGCCACGTTACCTAAAGCAGCAGCTATCACAATTTGGGAAACTCTGTTTCTACATAACTGAGCAAAGTCTATTGCATTACTCTTCAAGTATAAAATAGACGTGACAGTAATGCTAAAATTGCATGGAATTTGGCAGCGGTGGGATTCGAACCCACGCCATCGAAATGACTGGTGCCTTAAACAAGCGCCTTAGACCACTCGGCCACGCTACCGACAACGCGGTGTGCCCAACTTTCCATATTGAAAAGGCTATTTACCCATGACGAGTACTATTGTTTGCGCAAATGCATTACAATTATGTGGTTTAGTATCTCTCTTATTTGTAGAAAAGTATGCCAATCCGGATTGGAACTTTATATCCACTGTAAAATATTGTGTCTAGTGTATTCTCATCTTCACTTACTTTTTTGAAAGTTTCACTTTCTTTTTCACGATAGGAGGTGTGAAGAAATTTTGACCAGCCAAAAAAACTTTTTCTTACATGTCCAAGTTTGTCAGGTGTGGGATTCGAACCTACACACACAACTGTAGATCAGATTTCGTAGACCATTTTAAGTCAGGCGCTTTCGACCGCTATGCCTACCTGACTGTTCAAAGCATTTCGGAACTAATATCGCTTTGTTCCACGTTATCGGCGGGGAAACGACAGAAGTAATTTCAAAAAGTATTTTTTAAAAACAATATTATAGGAGAACTAATTTAATATTTATGAAAAATTGTCAGGTGTGGGATTCGAACCCACGCGCACCATTGTGGACCAGAATTCCTCACCACATTCTTGAGTCTGGCGCCTTAGACCGCTCGGCCAACCTGACGAGTAGCTACCACAACAACAACACCTAGTAGAATAAAAAATGAAAATTATACCTATATTATGATGTTAAAATCTTTAAAAAAATGTTTCCGCATGAGGTACATGCACCCTGACAGTGGCAGCGGTGGGATTCGAACCCACGCCATCGAAATGACTGGTGCCTAAAACCAGCGCCTTAGACCACTCGGCCACGCTACCTAAAGCAGCAGTTATCACAATTTGGGAAACTCTGTTTCTACATAACTGAGCAAAGTTTATTGCATTACTCTTCAAGTATAAAATAGACGTGACAGTAATGCTAAAATTGCATGGAATTTGGCAGCGGTGGGATTCGAACCCACGCCATCGAAATGACTGGTGCCTGAAACCAGCGCCTTAGACCACTCGGCCACGCTACCGACAACGCGGTGTTTCCAAACTTTCCATATTGAAAAGGCTATTTACCCATGACGAGTACTATTGTTTGCGCAAATGCATTACAATTATGTGGTTTAGTATCTCTCTTATTTGTAGAAAAGTATGCCAATCCGGATTGGAACTTTATATCCACTGTAAAATATTGTGTCTATAGTGTATTCTCATCTTCACTTACTTTTTTGAATGTTTCACTTTCTTTTTCACGATAGGAGGTGTGAGGAAATTTTGACCAGCTAAAAAAACTTTTTCTTACACGTCCAAGTTTGTCAGGTGGGGGATTCGAACCTACACACACAACTGTGGACCAGATTTCGTAGACCATTTTAAGTTAGGCGCTTTCGAGCGCTATGCCAACCTGACTGTTCAAAGTATTTCGGAACTAATATCGCTTTGTTCCACGTTATCGGCGAGGAAACGACAGAAGTAATTTCAAAAAGTATTTTTTAAAAACAATATTATAGGAGTACTAATTTATTATTTGTGAAAAATTGTCAAGTGTGGGATTCGAACCCACGCCCATCATTGTGGACCAGAATTCCTCACCACGTTCTTGAGTCTGGCGCCTTAGACCGCTCGGCCAACCTGACGAGTAGCTACCACAGCAACAACACCTAATACTATAAAAAATGAAAATTATGCCTATATTATGATGTTAAAATCTTAAAAAAAATGTTTCCGCATGAGGTACATGCACCCTGACAGTGGCAGCGGTGGGATTCGAACCCACGCCATCGAAATGACTGGTGCTTAAAACCAGCGCCTTAGACCACTCGGCCACGCTACCTAAGGCAGCAGCTATCACAATTTGGGAAACTCTGTTTCTACATATTTGAGCAAAGTTTATTGAATTACTCTTCATGTATAAAATAGACGTGACAGTAATGCTAAAATTGCATGGAATTTGGCAGAGGTGGGATTCGAACCCACGCTATCGAAATGACTGGTGCCTAAAACCAGCGCCTTAGACCACTCGGCCACGCTACCTAAGGCAGCAGCAATCACAATTTGGGAAACTCTGTTTCTACATATTTGAGCAAAGTTTATTGAATTACTTTTCAAGTATAAAATAGACGTGACAGTAATGCTAAAATTGCATGGAATTTGGCAGCGGTGGGATTCGAACCCACGCCATCGAAATGACTGGCGCCTTAAACCAGCGCCTTAGACCACTCGGCCACGCTACCGACAATGCGACGCTGCCCAACTTTCGATATTGCAAATGCTATTTACCCATGACGAGTACTATTGTGTGTGCAAAATGCATTACAATTATGTGGTTAGGTATCTCTCTTATTTGTGGAAAAGTATGCTAATCCGGATTGGAACTTTATATCCACTGTAAAATATTGTGTCTATAGTGTATTCTCATCTTCACTTACTTTTTTGAATGTTTCACTTTCTTTTTCACGATAGGAGGTGTGAGGAAATTTTGACCAGCTAAAAAAAACTTTTTCTTACACGTCCAAGTTTGTCAGGTGTGGGATTCGAACCTACACGCGCAACTGTGGACCAGATTTCGTAGACCATTTTTAGTCAGGCGCTTTCGACCGCTATTTTAACCTGACTGTTCAAAGTATTTCGGAACTAATATCGCTTTGTTCCACGTTATCGGCGAGGAAACGACAGAAGTAATTTCAAAAAGTATTTTTTAAAAACAATATTATAGGAGTACTAATTTATTATTTGTGAAAAATTGTCAAGTGTGGGATTCGAACCCACGCCCATCATTGTGGACCAGAATTCCTCACCACGTTCTTGAGTCTGGCGCCTTAGACCGCTCGGCCAACCTGACGAGTAGCTACCACAGCAACAACACCTAATACTATAAAAAATGAAAATTATGCCTATATTATGATGTTAAAATCTTAAAAAAAATGTTTCCGCATGAGGTACATGCACCCTGACAGTGGCAGCGGTGGGATTCGAACCCACGCCATCGAAATGACTGGTGCTTAAAACCAGCGCCTTAGACCACTCGGCCACGCTACCTAAGGCAGCTATCACAATTTGGGAAACTCTGTTTCTACATATTTGAGCAAAGTTTATTGAATTACTCTTCATGTATAAAATAGACGTGACAGTAATGCTAAAATTGCATGGAATTTGGCAGAGGTGGGATTCGAACCCACGCTATCGAAATGACTGGTGCCTAAAACCAGCGCCTTAGACCACTCGGCCACGCTACCTAAGGCAGCAGCAATCACAATTTGGGAAACTCTGTTTCTACATATTTGAGCAAAGTTTATTGAATTACTTTTCAAGTATAAAATAGACGTGACAGTAATGCTAAAATTGCATGGAATTTGGCAGCGGTGGGATTCGAACCCACGCCATCGAAATGACTGGCGCCTTAAACCAGCGCCTTAGACCACTCGGCCACGCTACCGACAATGCGACGCTGCCCAACTTTCGATATTGCAAATGCTATTTACCCATGACGAGTACTATTGTGTGTGCAAAATGCATTACAATTATGTGGTTAGGTATCTCTCTTATTTGTGGAAAAGTATGCTAATCCGGATTGGAACTTTATATCCACTGTAAAATATTGTGTCTATAGTGTATTCTCATCTTCACTTACTTTTTTGAATGTTTCACTTTCTTTTTCACGATAGGAGGTGTGAGGAAATTTTGACCAGCTAAAAAAAACTTTTTCTTACACGTCCAAGTTTGTCAGGTGTGGGATTCGAACCTACACGCGCAACTGTGGACCAGATTTCGTAGACCATTTTTAGTCAGGCGCTTTCGACCGCTATTTTAACCTGACTGTTCAAAGTATTTCGGAACTAATATCGCTTTGTTCAACGTTATCGGCGTAGAAACGACAGAAGTAATTTAAAAAAGTATTTTTTAAAAACAATATTATAAGAGTACTAATTTAATATTTGTGAAAAATGTCAGGTGTGGGATTCGAACCTACGCCCACCATTGTGTACCAGAATTCCTCACCACGTTCTTGAGTCTGGCGCCTTAGACCGCTCGGCCAACCTGACGAGTAGCTACCACAACAACAACACCTAGTGGCATAAAAAATGAAAATTATGCCTATATTATGATGTTAAAATCTTAAAAAAAAATGTTTCCGCATGAGCTACATGCACCCTGACAGTGGCAGCGGTGGGATTCGAACCCACGCCATCGAAATGACTGGTGCCTAAAACCAGCGCCTTAGACCACTCCGCCACGCTACCTAAGGCAGCAGCTATCACAATTTGGGAAACTCTGTTTCTACATAACTGAGCAAAGTTTATTGCATTACTCTTTTGAAGTATAAAATAGACGTGACAGTAATGCTAAAATTGCATGGAATTTGGCAGCGGTGGGATTCGAACCCACGCATTAGAAGTGACTGGTGCCTGAAACCAGCGCCTTAGACCACTCGGCCATGCTACCGACAATGCGATGCTGCCCAACTTTCCATATTGCAAATGCTATTTACCCATGACGAGTACTATTGTGTGTGCAAAATGCATTACAATTATGTGGTTAGGTATCTCTCTTATTTGTGGAAAAGTATGCTAATCAGGATTGGAACTTTATATCCTCTGTAAAATATTGTATCTATAGTGTATTCTCATCTTCACTTACTTTTTTGAATGTTTCACTTTCTTTTTCACGATAGGAGGTGTGAGGAAATTTTGACCAGCTAAAAAAACTTTTTCTTACACGTCCAAGTTTGTCAGGTGGGGGATTCGAACCTACACACACAACTGTGGACCAGATTTCGTAGACCATTTTAAGTTAGGCGCTTTCGAGCGCTATGCCAACCTGACTGTTCAAAGTATTTCGGAACTAATATCGCTTTGTTCCACGTTATCGGCGAGGAAACGACAGAAGTAATTTCAAAAAGTATTTTTTAAAAACAATATTATAGGAGTACTAATTTATTATTTGTGAAAAATTGTCAGGTGTGGGATTCGAACCCACGCCTACAATTGTGGACCAGAATTCCTCACCACCGTTCTTTGAGTCTGGGCGCCTTAGACCGCTCGGCCAACCTGACACGAGTAGCTACCACAACAACAACACCTAGTGGCATAAAAAAAAATATGCTTATATTATGATGTAAAATCTTAAAAAAAAATGTTTCCGCATGAGGTACATGCACCCTGACAGTGGCAGCGGTGGGATTCGAACCCACGCCATCGAAATGACTGGTGCCTAAAACCAGCGCCTTAGACCACTTGGCCACGCTACCTAAGGCAGCAGCTATCACAATTTGGGAAACTCTGTTTCTACATAACTGAGCAAAGTTTATTGCATTACTCTTCAAGTATAAAATAGACGTGACAGTAATGCTAAAATTGCATGGAATTTGGCAGCGGTGGGATTCGAACCCACGCCATCGAAATGACTGGCGCCTTAAACCAGCGCCTTAGACCACTCGGATACGCTACCGACAATGCGACGCTGCCCAACTTTCGATATTGCAAATGCTATTTACCCATGACGAGTACTATTGTGTGTGCAAAATGCATTACAATTATGTGGTTAGGTATCTCTCTTATTTGTGGAAAAGTATGCTAATCCGGATTGGAACTTTATATCCACTGTAAAATATTGTGTCTATAGTGTATTCTCATCTTCACTTACTTTTTTGAATGTTTCACTTTCTTTTTCACGATAGGAGGTGTGAGGAAATTTTGACCAGCTAAAAAAACTTTTTCTTACACGTCCAAGTTTGTCAGGTGTGGGATTTGAACTTACACACACAACTGTGGACCAGATTTCGTAGACCATTTTAAGTTAGGCGCTTTCGACCGCTATGCCAACCTGACTGTTCAAAGTATTTCGGAACTAATATCGCTTTGTTCCACATTATCGGCGAGGAAACGACAGAAGTAATTTCAAAAAGTATTTTTTAAAAACAATATTATAGGAGTACTAATTTAATATTTGTGAAAAATTGTCAGGTGTGGGATTCGAACCCACGCCCACCATTGTGGACCAGAATTCCTCACCACGTTCTTGAGTCTGGCGCCTTAGACCGCTCGGCCAACCTGACGAGTAGCTACTACAACAACAACACCTAATACTATAAAAAATGAAAATTATGCCTATATTATGATGTTAAAATCTTAAAAAAAATGTTTCCGCATGAGGTACATGCACCCTGACAGTGGCAGCGGTGGGATTCGAACCCACGCCATCGAAATGACTGGTGCCTAAAACCAGCGCCTTAGACCACTCCGCCACGCTACGTAAGGCAGCAGCTATCATAATTTGGGAAACTCTGTTTCTACATAACTGAGCAAAGTTTATTGCATTACTCTTTAAGTATAAAATAGACGTGACAGTAATGCTAAAATTGCATGGAATTTGGCAGCGGTGGGATTCGAACCCACGCCATCGAAATGACTGGTGCCTTAAACCAGCGCCTTAGACCACTCGGCCACGCGACCGAGAAAGCGTTGCTGCCCAACTTTCCATATTGCAAAGTGTAATTTCCCATAACGAGTACTATTGCCTGTGCAAAATGCATTATAATCATATGGTTAAGGGTTTCGAACCCACACCCACCATTGTGGACCAGAATTCCTCACGACTTTCTTGAGTCCGCGGTGTATACTATACAATGGGCAGTTTTTCAAATCCTGGAAATGGGTTTAAATTTCTATAGTGAAATATGGCAAAACAGTATGGTGCAATTTACAGTGTAATTTCAAAATGCAATTCATCCACATCATTAACAAGAAGTTGGTAATCATAATTACCGAATTATTTCGAATGGAGTACTTATTGAATTTCTAGTGAAGTTGATTAGGCCATCTGGACCTCTATAAATATTTCACCGGCACGCAATAAAACACATAATGTTTAATACAAGGTTAACATCCATAACTTTTTACACCTTACCGGTCAGGGACACCAGAAGGATGCGAGCTCGAGGGCAAAGAGAGGAAGATTTTTGAGGAAAGGCATTTCTGTTATGAAACTGACTTGAGAGTGTTAACAAATCATGAACCACTGAATTCGTTTCTCTTTTGTTTCATGATTCCATGATGATTACATCAATATTCTTAAAGCTGATTGGTTGCATTTTACGTGTTATAAAGCAGATATGTATTAATACGCTCCTCTATATGCGAATACGACTACCAATTGCAAAAGTTGCAAACAATCCTCTGAAGTGAAAAGGCTTAACTTCTTTGTCCTTTTTATCTTGCCATGCTCGTAAAAGAGAAGAGAGGCAGATGCCCCTGGCAGTAATCCTTTATGATTTTCAAATATAGTGGCACAAAACTTTGGAATTATAGCCTTTCTCAGGAAGCAAAAGCCCGGTCTGAATATTGAAAGTACTCTCAATAATAATTCGACATTTTGTGCATAAGAGCCGGGAGGCATTGTCAGGGTGGCATTTCTGCTCCCCAATTTTGTGTCCGTCCCCAAATATTTCCATGTAGATTTGCTGGCCTGATTTGACAATTTCCTTGTGTCCAGCCGACGTAGTGAACTAGTTTTATTGTCTCTCTCAATAATCGAGAATGCATTTTAACTCCCAAACGACATTTATGTTTCAGGTAACTCACTTTTTGCAACTAATTCTGTCAAACTACAGCCGTTAATAAAGGGCGAATACGAAAGGCATCACATGCATTTATTTTAATTTTTCCACGCATAGATAGAATAATAACTCAGCCCGTACAAAAGTTGTACAGGATATTATGGCATGCGAGTTAGCCTTGGCCTCTATATATGTAGTATTGCCAGCATTTAAACTAGAAAAGTTCAAAAACGGCAAACTTGGGAAAATCTTTCAACAGTTCCACAATTTTACGTAGTTTCAGTGAAGCTATTACAGCGACGCCGGAGAATGGGGGCGGGGGGAGGTATTCGCCCCGCTGGCCCCTGGCTTGTTTTTATGTTTCATGTTTTTGTGTGTTCTCTGTATGTTTTTCGTCGAGAATACTGCTATTAATTTTCTCGTTAGAATTGTTAGTTTCGTGATTTCAAACAAACAGCAACACTATTCTCGCCCCTATTCCCGAGGCTCGCGTGGCTGCCATGTGGATTGATATTCACCGGTAAATATGAAAAAATCTGGCGCCACAGCGAATACGGATGACGTGAGCGCGATACCCAGAAAAATTTGATGATCACGAGGCAGAAATCTGGCTTTCTCATTGGACAATTTGAATTTGAGGTATAATAATAGGCTTGCAATAACTTTGCCTTCAACGAATAATTGTTAATTGGTATAATTACAAAGGTGATTATTGAAAATTCTGGCCTCTGATTGGTCGAGCGACCTCGGATTATTCCGCGATAATCGCCCAAGTGGATTCTTCAAATTGGCGGCGAGTTGTTTTTGCGAATGTGGCAGATGAAGAAATACGTTATTTTAACAAAATACTGTACCTGAAAGAACAAAAGAAGGGAAAAAATTAGGCAAAAATTATGCTCAAGGTAAAAAACTACTTTTTAGAACACTTTATTTTGCGAAAACATTGTTTTATTTGAATCGCCGTACAACTGTCCAGATATTTGTTTAAGTTTGTAAAACATGTATTTTCTACAACAGATTCGCTTTCTCAAATAATCACCTTTGTAATTATACTAAAACAATTTGACTTCGTCTCGGTTCACTTCGACTTCGTCTCGGTTTTTATTCAGCGATATTCATTTCGCCTTTGGCGAATAATTGTTAAATATTGACAAATTACCGAGGAATTTAAAGCGATTGAATTTAAAGCGATTGTGTAATAGCTTTTCACAGTTAATACAAATAAACTGTATCAAACAAGTGAACTCTAATCCAGTGAACTGGAACGATACCTCCTCATCGTTTTCGTGAAGCCAAAATTCGCGGGACTTTACCTCCAGACAAGCGTAAGATAACGTGGAGGTAAAACCCACCGAATTTTTGATTCACAAAAATAATATATACGTATAAGGAGGTATCGTTCAGTTATTTATTAGATTTCACTGACCCCAACCAGGAAGCAAATTAGATGAAGAAGTCTGATCAACAGGGTTGCCAGGTTACTGAATAAATTAGTCAAATATTATTTCCAGAAGCTTTGTTTGAAACAATGTTTAGCTTCTTTATTTACTAAAAGTCTGGCAACCCTGCTGACAAGTGTGTCGCTCAATATTTTGCCAAAGCAAATAATTTTGATTCAAAAGTAACTTTAATTCTTATACACGTTCGCGATAACAAACTGCCTTGTTTTCTCTGCTTTGAGAATGCTGCAGCTTCTAGTTATCCTGTTTGGAAGTGCTGGACTGCTGTTTGATATTGGCGGTGAGTTTCACTGGTAATAATTAGCAATAATTTCGTACTAATTTTTAGTAAAAAAAACTTCTATATTTCAATTTCTCCCTGATAGTTGATTCGGAGCGTCTTCCGTATAATCAATCTATCGGGTCAAATGTGAATAAACAGTTTATAAGGTTTACATAGGTCTATACAATTTACTATAAGGTTTCCAATAGGCGGATCATGTCGCAACGGAAATATTCTTGGAATGCCACTTTTTAAACTTCATATCATGCAGTTAAACGTCAATCAGCTCGTTATGTCCGCGTTATTTTTATTTAATAATTTTATTTGTAAAATATGGTTCTTAATTCTGTTGGATATAACTTTTTGAAATGCTCGTTAGGCGTCCTATTATATAGTTAACATGCACAACTTAATTAACGTTAGCGTACTAATACTGATTCAGTTAATATGTTAATAAGTATAATTGGATTGCCAAGCACAAAACTTTGTGATATGAAAAAAACTTTGTAATATGTCATTCATAACAATGAAGGACAATGAACTGGGAAAATTACAGTGCCTATTCTATATTTATTATATTCATTCTGAAATCAATGGTGTTTCTTGCAATCTGATTGGTTAAAAATAGTGTGATTAATTCCCAAATCGCACTATTTTTGAGCATTTATCACATCATTTATAAGCCAATAAGATTGACAGGGCCGTAGCTAGACCGCTTAATTGGGGGGGGGGGGTGTATATTCATATACTCATGTTTATATACCGTAGGAACAATAGCGTACAAAAGAAATCAGTCGGGCATAGGACGAATATATGAATATACACATCCCCCCAATTAAGCTTCTAGTCACGGCCCTGAAGATTGAAGCTCTGCACCACAATAACCAATCTGATTTAGTATCTTAGTGTAACTATCCAATCAAATTACAGGGGAAAATGGAACAAAATTTTACTATTTTGAATTTTACACCGTTTACGGTTTATGCATGTTTAATCTTTTGTATGATTCAAAATGAATATAATGAAGTGGAAATTTCACTTTGTGTCGTGCGATTTTGGTGTGAAATCAAGCTTTTTATTACAAATCGCACTCCGGCTTCGCGGTTTTGTAATCACGCGTTTGATTTCACACCAAATTGCACTCAACTCAGTGCAGTTACCATTATTTATAAAAATACTTTAAAAATTAAAAAAACTCAAATCATTTCAACTGCAGATAGGCAGACGAATGCAATCGCTCGGCAGTGTTTAGCCATTTTATTTTTGGGTAACATTTTATTCTCTATGCATACACCTGTGTTTAGCGCAGGCAACGAATATAAACCATGCACACACTTCACCGCGAGCACATTACTTGGAAGCTTTTTTAAAATACTCTAACCGACAAAGGTGTATACAGGGTGTATGAAAAAAACTGCAACCCACCTAGTATTCATATATTCATTCAATACCAAAAGATCGTAGGCCTCTAGGAATTATTAGGGTTGCAGTTTTTGATACAACCAGTATATGCTCCTATGCAATCTTCCCAAGAGTGCGTGTAGGCTAGCATATTTTATAGTGTTCTATATAGTGTTCTTTTATAGTGTTTTACAGCTCCAGTTTTGTTCAACCTACTCCATCACCATCAGAATCTAACATTTCTTCACAAAACGAACATTTACTGAGTTGACAAGATCATGGCCTTTTGGCTCTTATGTCTTAGGGTCTCAGTGCGCATGCTGTTGTTGCTACTCCGTAGGTTGCTACCGGACCTAAGCCTAAGGGCTGCTTTCAAGTTATGCGTTTTTTGTACGCACGTACACGAATGGGAAATTTGAAATGCTTCTAAATTTTTATTATTTAACATTTAGGTCTACAAGTGCATACTAAAATATGCGGAAAACTAAGTTCTTTCGATTTATTTACTTAGTTTTTTCAAAGATAACATATATAAGGATTTACAGTTTTACGTGCGTGTACGTGCGTATGAAATGTGTATAAAGGCTGCTTTCCACTTACGCGTTTTTTATACGCACGTACACGTACGGAAAATTTTAAATGCTTTTAAATTTTCATTATTTAACATCTAGGTCAACTAATGCATACTAAAATAAGCAGGAAACAAAGTTCCTTCGATTTATTTACTTAGTTTTTTAAAAGATATCATGCAAAAGGATTTAGACTTTTACGTGCGTGTACGTGCGTATGAAAAACGCGTAACTGCATGGAAAGCAGCCATAACTGGAATGATTTCACGTACATGCATGTAGCAGCCTTAAGGCTCTTTTCCAGTCCTCGCAATGGCAAACCTACAAACCCGCTGCGAGGGTTTTCATCCAATGAAAATGCTTTTATGTTGATTTTAATTACAAGCAGCCATTCCCAGCGAGCTTGCGAGTGGGTTTTGCGGGGCTTTTGTTTAAAAAGACCTTTATGCGACTGACGAGTAATGAGGGCTGTCGCGAATATTTCTGCAAAACCTTAGGCGATGATAAAATTTCTTCTGGTTTTTGTCAAGGTTTACTTTGTGGGGTGCAGATTGTTTTTTGTATTTCTTTCGATATTCTTGCTTTCCAGGTCAGAACTATTTTCTGGCCAATCTTTTTTCGGTATACGCAAAACCTCAGGACAAAGCTGCCATTTTTCGTTTAACTTGTGTAGTTGATATTCCTCGGAAGATTTCATCAGCCAAATTTGATTCGCACGATACGTGTCTCCATTGGTTCGGATCACTGTTGTTCAACCTCGTACCTCGGGGTTTCGTTAGCTGTTGTTCTGCAAAGCCAACATTTAATTTTCTTGATCACCCATGACCCATTTTCAGTTAGCCTGCATACGCTTTTTACAACTTTTTTCTCAGACCTTTGCTAGACTAATTTTCAGTCATCATTAAAAAAATTGTATTAAATAGAAGACAAAGCGATCATTACTATTACAAACTCATATATATCAATAGGTCACCCTTATACCGGATAGCACAAAAAAGTTTAACCTGTTTGATTGAGTATAACTTCAAAACTAAAACGTCTGTTACACTGAAATAACTTTCTTTACATTCGTGAATGTCTAACTCAAAATTTGGTATATACCATGCTTATTTTGATTCAATTTTCTCATTTTACTGTTGTAGCTACCGTAAAACGACGCATATTAAGAAAAGAACAAGCAGAAATCGTGCGAAATTGTTTGTTAAATTTGTGGGCTTCCGAACGAATTTTATCCCCCTTAGACATGAGATATTTGGAACAAAGCTAAACCAAAATAGCTAATTTTTGCTTTAACGTTTTCCAACATGTCATGACACAAAAAACCCTTTTCCAGTGAAGTTAAACTTCATTCAAACAGACAGAATACGTGGTATAAAATACTAAGATTTGTCAACTCACTTTAATATGCCATTTTCAGCTAATTTTTACACTTTTTAAAAATGCATACTTAAATTGAACCGCGATATCTCGGTCAAAATTGCTTGAAGAGCCTCATGCTATAAATTATATCAAAATTTAATTTAGACATTAGAGAATATAAAAAACATAATTTTAGTGTAATAGCTCTTTTAATTTTGAAATTATACTCAATCAAACAGGGTTAACCTTTTTTTGCGCAACCCGGTATATCTTGGGTGGATCCAGCACTAGTGCACTAATTTGCATAACACAAGAAAGCTGCTCAAAATAGCCATTTTGTTTTGTAACGCAAATTAGTGCACTAGTGCTGGATCCACCCCTGCGGTATATCAATGCGTTACCCTGTTCATCAATGAGGCAATGCTCTGCATGGATCACCAGTCACATTAATTTTGATAAAGTCGTTAAAAAAATCAAAAATAAGAAAATGTTAATATATCAAAATATCAATTATAATATATCCACAAAAAATAATAATGCATATTCATTTGTATACCAATGCTCTGTTATAAACGCACCAGACAGACATATGATATGGGCAAAGATGACAACAATAATTTTATTGTTCGTATCCTTTCTAGGTTGTTCAACTGTAACGGTGTCTCCATCAATGTCAGTTCATAGCGTTCAGTTTGGAAAAACACCATCTTTATCATACTCGATATCCAGTAAACCCAGTCAGTCAATGTCAATGTACACCATGGGTACTCAACCTAGTCAATCAATGTCAATGTACACCGTCGGCGCTCAACCCAGTCAAACAATGTCAATGTACACCATAAGTGCTCAACCCAGTCAATCAATGTCATTGTACACCATGGGTGTTCAACCAAGTCAATCAATGTCAATGTACACCATGGGTGGTCAACCAAGTCAATCAATGTCAATGTACACCATGGGTGCTCAACTAAGTCAATCAATGTCAATGTACACCATGGGTGCTCAACCCAGTCAGTCAATGTCAATGTACACTATGAGTGCTCAACCCAGTCAATCAATGTCAATGTACACCATGGGTGGTCAACCCAGTCAATCAATGTCAATGTACACTATGGGTGCTCAACCTAGTCAATCAATGTCAATGTACACCATGGGTGTTCAACCTAGTCAATCAATGTCAATGTACACTATGGGTGTTCAACCAAGTCAATCAATGTCAATGTACACTATGGGTGCTCAACCCAGTCAATCAATGTCAATGTACACCATGGGTGGTCAACCCAGTCAATCAATGTCAATGTACACTATGGGTGCTCAACCCAGTCAATCAATGTCAATGTACACTATGGGTGCTCAACCTAGTCAGTCAATGTCGATGTACACCATGGGTGGTCAACCAGAATCCAGTTCTAGTGTTGTTAAACCTACTGCATCACCATCAGAATCCAGCTCTAGTTTTGTTCAACCTACTACTCTATCACCATCAGACTCCAGCTCCAGTATTGTTCAACATACTCCGTCACCATCAGAATCCAGCTCCAGTATTATTCAATCTACTCCATCACCATCAGAATCCAGCTCCAGTATTGTTCAACCCACTCCGTCACCATCACAATCTAGCTCCAGTGTTTTTCAACCCAGTCCGTCACCATCAGAATCCAGCTCCAGTGTTGTTCAACCTACTACTCCATCACCATCAGAATTCAGCTCCATTGTTGTTCAACCTATCCCATCACCATCGGAATCCAGCTCCATTGTTGTTCAACCTGTCCCATCACCATCAGAATTCAGCCCCAGTATTGTTCAACCTACTCCATCATCATCAGAATCCAGCTCCATTGTTGTTCAACCTATCCCATCACCATCAGAATCCAGCTCCAGTGTTATTGAAATTACTCCAAGTACATCCACATTCAGTTCCAGTGTCAAAGCCGTGACAAGCTCTGTTTCAGTTGCCACAACGTCTCCCACCGATTCTCCAACAACCCTTCCTACAGCGGAAATAACTACATTCGGAATTGTGATGATTATTCTCGGCGATTATAGAAATGAACTAAGTAATAGCAGCAATCAAGAATATAAAGATTTAAGTTCAAATATTAAGGGTTTCCTGATAACATTATATCAACCATTCCCAGGATTTCTTGGCATTAGAATTATTTCGTTCTCACCAGGAAGCATCGTTGTTGATTTTGATGTAATATTCAACTCAACTGAAGCTAACACTACCGTCCAAGAAGTTATTGAACCAATCCAAAAAGGGATGACTGGTCCCATCGCACCATTTAGAATTTTATCGGTAGCAGAAAAAGAAGAGGTTGTTCAAACTACTCCAGCACCATCAGAATCCAGTTCCAGTTTTAACGGTACGTTTTAAATTATAACGGTACGTATTCCCCGAAATATGTATATATTTTTGTCTATAGATGCAAATTATGGATAGTTTTTTTCAATAACTGATTTTTAATTAACTAATTTTCTATAATAGCAAGATGTGGTGAGTAATTTATTTTGTGGGATGGTTGTGTATCACTCCAAATGTCTGATGTGTTCAGCCAACACTAAAAATGGTGTAAATGTCCGCCTTCACCATACACCGATTCAGGGTAAACCGTAACGGTTTACACCTTTGGTAAATTTACCTAAAGCTGGTGTAATAGCTGATAGCTATTATGCGAGGTACACGAGTTATTATACGCCAATGGCCACCAATGACTTTTTGCGAAGCACATAGCTCTAGTGTGCGCCGGCCTTTACTATGCTATTTACCAGTGTTAATCATGCATTCAAATTCCATCAGAAGCTTCATTTCAAAAGGGGGTACTTTTTTATACAGCCTGTACAGTATTGTATAAGGCGCTAAGTGATAGTAATTAATATGTACAATGTACATTGACTTTTGAATATGTGGTGGAAATGGAAATGCAAATTTGTATATGCATATTAGCTTGTATACGTTATGGCAGAAATTTGCTCTCTTTGCCCGCACACGTAGTGGGGAAAAATTAATGCACTCGTGCACTATATTATTCAACTTGATGAATATATGGTGCAAATAGCACGCGTTAACAAAATCTCGCAAAGCGTCGCCGCGCACTGGGAGAACTTGCTTACGTTAAAGTTCACGAGTGACTTTTAGCTTAACAGAAATAGCTCTCATGTGCGTCGGGATTAAGGTCTCTATTGAGTGTAATGAAAACGGGGATTAGTTTTTATTGATATAAAGTATGGTTGATGCAATATTTTATTGGCTGCTACACGCTTCTGAAAAGAAGTTGAGAATTAATGTTTTGCATTACAGGCCGGCGAAAGTATGGATATAGCCCCGCCGCACGGCACTATTTGGTGCACTCTCATTTCTTTTTTGACAGGCTGCTTATGCCAGAAGCGAATGGGAAAACAAACAATCTTTTCTTGGGTGAGAATTGCTTTATGCAGATTATTCCGATCATAGCTTTTTTCAGATTAGACTTCCAGACTCTCAGAATTTGCAATAGGTTTGTCTGAGAAGGCGTGGTACAGTGTATACAAACCTGTCCACCACCACACGTCTAGCATATATTATGTAGTTCATATAAATTATCTCTACCACAGGAGAATGGTAATCTCCACCACTTTACCACGTAAACTTGTCCACCACCACACGTCTAGCATATATTATGTAGTTCATATAAATTATCTCTACCACAGGAGAATGGTAATCTCCACCATTTTACCTCGTAAACTTGTCCACCACCACAAGTCTAGCATATATTATGTAGTTCCTATGAATGATCTCTACCACAGGAAAATGGTAATGTTACAGCTGAGCCGTGGTTCTAAATGGAGTGGTGGGTAAATCCAGTTGAAAAAGCTGGAAGAGCGAATGTCCTCTTTTTTATACTATGAACAATGCCTGTTCGTGTACCAGTAAGTATAACAATTTTGATTTTAGATATTCACAAGGAACAGGAAATAGATCAGAGAAACGTGGCATTATTATTTCGGCTCGGTACGTATACCTATATGAACAAGATTTGTACTATTTGCTGCTTATCCAAAGTTTGTTATGCAAAAATATGCCATAAATCATACTGTACAATTCCCATTTTGTACAATCAACAAGACGTGGTTAATTAATGCAAAAGTGTTTAAACCAATTGAACTAATTCCACGTTCTTTTTTTTATTACAGAGCTTAGAATGCATTTTAACTCCCAAAGGGAACAAACTTTACGTTCTATTTAATTAATGGGTTCACTTATTTGATATGCTTCGTATACCCATAAGATATTTTAGGCAACCTCATTACAGCCTATTACAAACACATTGCAGCTAATTTGAATTTCAATGGTGTCAGTTTTTTTGACTCACCCTGTAGTAAACAAGTTAGTATGGCCAGGTCATTATTTAACAATTAGTCGCCGAAGGCGAGGAGATTACGATATTCACTGAGCCTATATTCACTGAGCCGAATAATAATCAACATAATCTCATAAAAATCAATGGTCAGCTCGAAATTTATACTAAAAGTTATTAGACTTAAGTAATAATGTTATCTAAATGACGTAGGTGTAGGACGTTTGTAGGTGTAAAAGCCTAAAAGGCATGCTCACGAGACACGACATAATTATTTGGTGCTGAGAGAAAAAAATATTCAAATTTTAAGCCTCTGAGATCTTTTGGAAAGTCTATTTTTGAATAAGACAAAACTTTAATGTGCGAGACAATTCGGTACGTGTTGCATATTTGGTGAATTCACTTAAATTTATAATGGTATATTTTTCTGACCAAGAACAAAGTGATTAGAACAACTTTGCCACACACTTCACACATCCTCGGGTGGCATCCCCTACGCTTTAAGTTTGCACGAGAAGCAAAAACGAGAACACAAGGCTGTACAGAAATTTATTGGGGTTTAGCAAAATCTTCTTTATAATTAGGAGGTCGAATCCATTCATAATTCTATTCCTGTCGAGTTTTGATCGTAGACAACCCCTCTTGCTGCTTCTACGGGCACTTACAATCAGATGCAAAAATTAATGAAACAACCACATAAATGACCTCCTCTCCCCAAAATCAATGTTGCGAGGATGTACGGTAGGGAAAAATTGGCTTTTTTTTGAGCATGGACTATGGGGGCAGGGGTGCCACGATGCACTTCAAATTTGATGGAAAATCTGAAAACTCTCATAATTTTTGCACGTGATTGTAGATGATATAAAACACATTACTCACATCACTGGGTTTTAAAAGTTTCGCACTTTTTTCCAAAACTGAACAAAAAATCTAAGTATAAATGAACCGAATCCCGATTAAAAAGAACTGTCGGAAAACGAGTCTGACATTGAATATAATTTTTTTATATGAATGAATCTGTTATTATTGTTTAATGTCTGTTTACAAGGACTAGACATGCTTACCAACATATGTAGGATCATTACTCGACCGCAAAGCTAGTTTTAAGCTACCGGGGTTTTTCGTATCAAACCAGTTAAACTTAATTGAGATTGAGAATTTACTTAAGAATGTATTTTAACACCCCCAAGAGATCAAGTTTTTTTAAAGTTTTTTCATTTTAATATCTCAGAAGAACAAGAAATCATGGTATGCTTGTTGGCCTTTGCCGCTATACGAGAAATATATGGCAGGTTGCTTTTTTATATATATCATGTTATTAAACTTTCGTTATGTTATTGTTTGGATCTCTCTGTAGATTTTAAATATCCCCCAAAAATATCTCCTCTGTTGATATCAAGCCTTTGTAAGAATCTGATTGTCTTAATATTATGATTAATATGATAAACCCAATTGAAAGCAAGACGCTTTATTTGAATGACGCTTTATTTCACTTTTAACGAAATGAAATTACCGACTTGAGGTAATAGTTATTCTCTTAAGAGAATTAGGTTAACCTCCAATTTAGGTGCCCAAACATCGGGTAATTTTAGAGCTAGTAATCACTATCATATTCGGTGGATAGCGCTAGCAGCTTTAGTATACCACTGTACACTGCATTGTACACTGCAACGTTTAGTGCTACCTTTGTGCACTAACAAAAAGTTTAGCTTTTATGGAATTATACATTTGCATAAACATAGAAAGTATTTAACAGAGAAAATTCACTCTTTCATAAATATTATGTAAGAGTTTCCATAACTGTTAATAAGGTGCTCCACCTCGCAGTGCCTTAGACCGCTCTGCCAACCAGACGAGTAGCTACCTCAACAACAACACGTACTGGTAGAAAAAAATGAAATTATCCCTGGATGATAAAATCTAAAAAAAATGTTTTCGCATGAGGTACATGCAGCCCGAGAGTGGCAGCGGTGGGATTCGAACCCACGCCATCGAAATGACTGGTGCCTTAAACCAGCGCCTTAGACCACTCGGCCACGCAACCTAAGCCTGTAGCTTAAACAATTTGGCAAAACCCGGTTCTACATAACTGAGCAAAGTTTATTTCATTACTCTTGAAGTATTATAAAATAGACGTACCAGTAATACTAAAATTGCATGTAATTTGGCAGCGGTTGGATTCGAACCAACGCCATCGAAATGACTGGTGCCTTAAACCAGCGCCTTAGACCACTCGGCCACGCTACCGACAAAGCGTTGCTGCCCAACTTTCCATATTGCAAAGGGTATTTTCCCACAACGAGTACTATTGCCTGTGCAAAATGCATTACGATCATATGGTTAAGTATCTCTCTTATTTGTAGAAAAATATGCCAATCCGGATTGGAACTTTATATCCACTGTAAAATATTGTGTCTAGTGTATTCTCATCGCCATTAACTTTTTTAGATGTTTGACTTTCGTTTTCACGATAGGAGGTGTGAGGAAATTTTGACCAGCCAAAAAAACATTTTCTTACATGACCGAATTTTTCAGGTGTGGGATTCGAACCTACGCACACAACTGTTGACCATTTTCAGTCTGGCACCTTCGACCACTCGGCTAACCTGACAGTTCAAAATATTTCGGAGCTAATATCGCTTTCTTCGACGTTATCGACGGGGAAACGACAGAAGTAATTTCAACAAAGTATTTTTTAAAACAATATTTTAGGAGTACTAATTTAGCTTTAGTGAACAATTGTCAGGTGTGGGATTCGAACCCACGCCCACTATTGTGGACCAGAATTCCTCACCACATTCTTAAGTCTGGCGCCTTAGACCGCTCGGCCAACCTGACGAGTAGAGACTACAAGAGCAACACCTACTGGTATAAAAAAATGAAAATTATCCCTATATCATGAAGTTAAAATCTAAAAAAAAATATTTCCGAATGAGGTACATCCAAGCCTTACAGTGGCAGCGGTGGGATTCGAACCCACGCCATCGAAATGACTGGTGCCTAACACCAGCGCCTTAGACCACTCGGCCACGCTACCTAA